CCCGGATGGCTGCAACATCTGGGAAACTGAACATTGAGGAACAAAACTGTTTTCAACATGTAAGTTGCTTCTGATATGTTTTTAAGTTATATGTTAAAGTATGTTTCTATGGCTCTAAATTTCTGACATAAAAAAGGTTATTTAAATAGTCCATTTTAAATAAACATTAAAATTAAAAGAAATTACGCTATAATATGAATTGATTACCCTTTAAACACCTTTTCGAGACTTAAGTGAGAAGTACAAAAGCACACAAACAACATATGAAAAAAAGCATATGCCAAAGTGAAAATATGCTGGTCAAGAACAATTGTACTCAAGCACTTTTCTACTGAAGCATCACTTCCTAATTATACGGGAAATGCTATAACAATAGAATATAATTGCACAGAAATGAATCTAGAGTATAAAGTATGAATAACCTATACTGTAGAACAAAAAACTGTCACAATTGTTCATTTTCATTCATACACAGGAAACTGAAAACAGTGAGGAGTGGAACCATTCAATATTCTACTACTCAAAGCCATGGAACAATCTGAAATACATGTTAAGTTATATATTAAATGACACTTAAAAAATCATTGAACAAGGCCATATAGGGTTCAGAAAGGCTGTACTTTAACATGATGTACAAGGTCTACTTTATTTGGCTCTTACATATATGTGATATTCTCTGACCACACTACCACTGCATCCCTTGTTTCTTGCCACACACCCCGTATCTTGCATTTTTGCCAGATCTCTAAACACACTCAATTCTTTCCCCAGCATGAAATACGCTCTCTACCTTTCCTTTTTTTAAAATTTATTTTTTAATTGAAAGATTAAGTTACAGAAAGAGAGAGAAAGAGAGAGAGAGGGAGGGAGGGAGGGAGATCTTCCATCCACTTGTTCATTCCCCCAAATGGCTACGACAGCCAGGGCTGGGCCATGCCAAAACCAGGATCCTTAAACTTCATATGGGTCTCCAACATGGGTGAACGGAGCCCAAGCACTTAAGCCATTTTCTGCTGCTTTCCTAGATACAATAGCAAGGAGCTGGATAAGAAGTAGAGTGGCCAGGATTCGAACTGGCACCCCTATGGGATGCTGGTGATGTAGGCAGCAGCTTAGCCTCGGTACCACAATGCTGGCCACAACTCCCTACCTTTTTGATTTGCTTGGAGAAAGTTAACTCTAGTCATATTTTAAGATTTGCCTCAGGCTGGCACTGTGATGTAGTGGGTAAATCCGCTGCCTGCAGTGCCAGCATCCCATAGGAGCGCAAGTTCGAGACCCAGCTGTTTCACTTCCCATCCAGCTCTCTGCTATGGCCTGGGAAAGCAGTAGAAAATGGCCCAAGTCCTTGGGCCCTGCACCCTTGTGGGAGACCCGGCAGAAGCTCCTGACTCTAGGCTTCAGATCAGCACAGCTCTGGCCATTTCGGCCATCTGGGGAGTGAACCAGCAGATGGAAGACCTCTCTCTCTCTCTGCCTCTCCTTCTCAATCCGTGTAACTCGGACTTTCAAATAAATAAATAAATCTTTAAGAAAAAAAGATTTGTCTCAAAGTTAACCTCTTCTACAAATAGTTTCCCTACCATATTATCCCCTCTATAACATTTTAATTTTTTAAAAAAATTTATTTAAGTTATACAAGTTTCATATATTTCACATACAGAGATTTAGGAACATAGTGGCACCTTATCCCTACCCTCCCTCCTGCCCATAAGCCAACCCTTGCTCCCTCTCCCTCTCAGATTCCCTATTTTAATTTTTACAATGATCTATTTTCGGTATACTCAGTGATTGCTCAGTTAGCCCTACTCCAAGTAAAAGAATTGAACAATATAGTATGAAGAGAAAAAACAAACAAAAACAACTACAAATACTTTATTCTTACCATATTATTCCCTCTAAAGAACCTATGGCATTATTTTATGGCACCATTTTCTCTGTATATAGTATCACAGATCCTCTGATATTTCAGTGATACTTGTTGATATGTCTCCTCCTGCTAAACAAGTAATTCTGAGAGCAAAATCATTATCTTATTCACCCTTTCATATTCAGTAACTAAAATCCTATCTAGTAACATTGTAAGCATATAAAAAATAATGATGGATGGATGCATGAATTCAGTTTAACCTTGTAATGAAACAGATCATGAAAAGTTCTTGAGAAATAGCAAATATTTTCCCTCCAACAATCAGGTACACTCACATACTTAAAAATTGTGGTAGGTGCTGGTGTTGTGGCGCAGTGGGTTAAGCCCTTGCCTATGATGCTGGTATCCCATTTGAGGGCTGGTTGAGTCTTGGCTGTTCCACTTCCAATCTAGCTCCCTGCTGATGCACCTGGGAAAGCAGCAGAAGATGGCCCAAGTGGTCAGCCCCTGACAGCCATGCATGGAGTTCCAGGCTCCTGATTCTGGCCTCACCAGGCCTAACTGTTTTAGCCATTTGGAGAGGGAACCAGTGACTAGAAGGCTGATCTCTCTCCCTCAAATTCTTTTAAATAAATAAATCTTTATAAAAATTTGTGGTCAAAAATTAAGAAATAGGGGGCAGCATTGTGGTACAGTGGGTTAAGCAGCTGCCAAAGACAATGGTGTCCCATATGGACTCCAGTTTGAGTCCTGGCTGCTTTAATTTTGATCCAGCTCTCTGTTAATGAGTCTGGAAAAGCAGTGGAAGATGACCCAAATCTCCGCACTCACATGGGAGATCTGGATGAAGCTCTTGGCTCCTAGCTCCTGGCTTTGACCTGGCCCAGCCACAGCCATTGAGGTCATTTGGGGAATGAACCAGCAGATGGAAGATCAGTCTCCCTCACTAACTCTTTCCAGTAAAATAAATAATTTTGTTTTAAATTAAAGAATATAAACTCTAGATATTGAGAAATAAAAATAGTAATTTTTACAGTTCATTCATAAAATATCCATTAGTTTGATGTTTGTAAGTTCAATACACTATAATCATAACTGAGTAACTGCTATATATCTAATTATGATAACCAAATATCGGTAACACTTTTTTATCAATCACGATTTTTAAAATAGCATTTTCAGAATGTTATAGAAAGCTCACTTAAAAACATGGCATAGATTTGAAATAAATTGAACCAACTATAAAATATTCAATTGAGACTGATACAGAATTAACAACATAGTACTTTGCTTTCAAACTAATGTTAATCAGCATAAGACCTATTACCACCATGGGTCCAGCCCTCCAATTTTTTAGTTAGCTAATTTCATAAATTAATTTTTCTCTGAAGCAAATTGTATTTTTTATCTGTATTCCTGATTGATACTCCATGTGACTTAAAAATTCTTTATTTTAACAATCTTAACAAAAATAATCATAGTTATCATCATGTAATGAGTATTATATGCTATTATCACTGCACATAAAGTATCACATTTAATGCTCATACCAATCTGTATCTTTGCATTGGTATCCCCTTGAGAGTGTCCAACAAGGAAGGCAAGCTTCTGAGAGTCTCAGAATGAATAAGTGGGAAAGAAAAACTATGCAATTTCAGTCTCTGCCTCAGGGATGGGTGTTGTGGTGCACCAGATTAAGCCAGAGCTTGGGATGCCAGCATCCAGAATCAGAGTGTAGATTTGTGTACTGCCTATTCTGCTTCAGATTCACCAGCATTCCTGCTAATGTGTCTGGGAACACAGCAGATGATGGTCCAAGGTCTCGAAGCGGGAGACCTTGACAGAGTTCTGGGATCCTGGCTTTGCCCTGGCCCAGACTTGGCTGTTATAGGCATTTGGGGAATGAGTAAGAGAATGAAGAGCCTTCTTTTTAGGCCTGTCTCATTTCTGTCACTTTGCTTTTCAAATACATAAATCTTTAAAAAAAAAAAAAAAAAGTCTTGGGGCTGGCACTGTGGCACAGCAGGTAAAGCCATGGACTATGATGCCCACATCCCATTTGGATGCCAATTCATGTCCTGGTTGCTCCACTTCCAATTCAGCTCCCTGCTAATGGCCTGAGAAAAGCAATGGAAGACGGCCGAAGTGCCTGGGCCCTTGCTACCACTTGGAAGACCCAGATAAAACTCCTAGCTTTGGCCTGGCTTAGCGCTGGCCATTGTGGTCACTTGGGGAGTGAACAAGCACAAGGAAGATCTCTTTTCCTTTTTCTGTCTCTCCCTCTCTGTAACTCTGACTTTCAAATAAATAAACCTTAAAATTTCTCTACCCTATCTACAATATACACCATCTTTCTTATACTTTTATCCAATATTTTACTCAATCTGTCCAGCACTTAAATTGGGTTGGCATTATTTAAATTTATACTAGGAAAGAAATATAATGTGAACATTGAGTAGAAAAGCAAAAGTCTCAAACTTTTCATTTGACAAAAAAACTGATCCATCACTGTGAATGACATAACCAAATTATGGCACTAAAAGGAATTAAAACATTTTCCTTTATGTGACAGGAAAAACTTACAAAGACACAACTCTTTATTGAAAAAGTTATATAAAATACCAAATAGTTCAATTATTTCTACATCAATCTGTTACTCAATGGTTGTTTCATAGAAATTACTCAAAAACTTATTTCTAAATAAGTCACTTCTTACATAAAATTTCAACTACTTTGAAATTTATTGTACTTTTATCACAGAACTCTTAGAAATATCACGTTCTGTACAAATGTTAACAATTACTATAGAGATCATATAATTTGTTGTTCAAAACTATACAATTTTTAGAGTTAAAGGGGCACTACTAATTATTGTAATGTAACAACAGATTTAAATAGGACTATCCTGGTACCTGGGACATGTGGACATTTAACTACTGCTATTCATTACACTTAGATTCCTCCTATGACTACCTAGTAGAAAAGTATACACATGCTTGTTCTATAAAACCATTTGAGTAGTATAGTACAATTTTAAAGGAGTGGTTTCTTTGCTAACTAACCACATTAAAAAGGCTACTTCATTAAGAAATTCACATTAATATTAAAATGCCAGTAACTTCAACAATACCTCATCCTGAAGCTCATCACCACTTTTAACAGAAGCAAGCATATCATATAAAGTACAGCAAAGATCTTCTATTCTTGGTGCTTCAGTCATTTCCTTCAAACTTGTATTCAAGTACTTCTCAACTTCACACCACAAAAAGGAGCCATTTGTTTTTTCCACTGGCTTGAGTTCTGGAGTGCAATGCTCATGTTCATTCAAAAACTTCTGATAATCTAGGCTTATGGTTTTCTGGGATTCACCATTTACTGGCAATTCATCAAAGTGGTCCAAGTCATGCATATCAAATGAAAATGCTAAATTTTTGCCAAAAAAACCTCCATCACTGTATTCCTTTGTTGTCAACTGGACAAGAGCAGTAAGATCATCTTGACTAAAATGAGAAATAATTCTATTAGTAGCATTACAAGCTTCAGTGGCAGACGATGATGGAAAGGGACCAAACATCTGTTTGACAGCCTTTGTCTCCGTATGACCAACAGAGTCCTTCAAGTGAAACGTCATGAAGAGAAATGCAGCCCCGCTTTCAATTGCTTCTTTCCCATTATCGGTTCCAACTATTCAAGGACAGAAGAAAAGGGTATTAGCTCAACTGAATCAGGTTTCAAATTACTTTTTTCAAAACAAAACTACTATGAATATTCATCTGAGTTAAATCTAATGGTCACATATACTACAAAGATAACTAAGTTAGGAGCAGAAAAATCCAACTCCAAATTCCCAAAGAACTATTTTACATGTATAAATCATTATCAATAACTACCCTTTATAAAAGTACTTAATTCCATCTGAACCAATTCCATCTAAAACCAATTTGAGACACTAAAGTTATTTGAAACAAAACTTTAAAGACTGATTTGATAAGCTAAATAAATCAAAGTAAAGCATAAACTAAATATCTGAATTATAAATTTTTGGAGATGGAAATGTCAAAGATCTATGACTTTCTTGTTTATCTGAACTATAAACTTGAGAAAGTAAAATGTATATTTATGTAGCTCTCATTCACAACTACTATCATCATTAGGATATATGTTTAAAATAAAATTAACCATATTATAAAACAAAGTAAGCTGCTGTTTAAAGAGCCCAGGGGTAAACTTCTTATCTAAATTAAGAGGAAGTAAAGGATCAGGTCCTAATTTCTTTAAGGCATTAATTCCTTATGCCTAATCTTCTCAAATAAAACAAAGAAAAACAAACTGTATTTGTGACATAGGTTTCAAATTCTTAGACTACATACACAAAATGTTAAAATCTTCCACAAGTCTTAAGATCAATGTGACTTACCTGAAATAATCTGGTCAAGTTAGTAATATAATCCATACTGCCATCACCATGAAGGCATAACTCTAATGTCATCACTCACACGTTTGAAGAGTTCACAATAGCTTAATCCAAACTCATACAGCATTTAGCTGACCCCATCAGTTTTTTTTTTTCAAGCTTTACTATCTATTATACCTTTCTTTAGCTGAAAGGGATTTCTGAACATTTAGAAAAACAAAGCAAAACAAAACAGATCTTGTACTAGTCTATACTGATGCTCATACCCTTATCTTCTCCAAGGCCAATGTTCAAATCCTACCTATGTTTCAGAATGAGTATGATATTTTGGCCATTTCTATATTGTCTCACTGTATCTAGCCACAAGTGGGATTAATCAAAATCCAAGCCTCCCTGATATCAAACTAGTATAATTTTACAGTATACCACACTGCCTAACTTTTTACTGCATCTGCTATTTCTATGTATGTAGAGGACTAATAGTTTAGATGGACAAACATAAGCACTTTACAATATCTATATCTAAATTCCTCAAGTATTAAGTCAACTTTTACTACCATATAAAATATAGAACATTCTCTGACATATAGTAATTCTTTCTCTTATTTTATTTCTTTGAGTGAAAGAGGAACAATAAGCTCTTCCGTCCACTGCTTTATTCCCTAAATGGCCGGCGTGGGCCAGGCCAAAGTGAGGAGCCTGGAACTCCATCAGGCCCAAGGACTTGGGTCAAATGCTGCTGCTTCTCCAGGTGCATTATCAGGGAGGCAGACGTAAGGACTCGAACTGGCACTCCAATATGGGATGCCAGTACAGCAGGCAGAGCTTACCTGCTGTGTCACAAAACCAGTTCCAAGTTATTCTTTTAGTATTCAGGAAAATCCATGAAAAAGTCTTCTATAAAACAGTGCCTTTAAATAAGTTGAATAGTATTTAAATACATCTTATTTATTGTACACATTTTACTTATGGTTGGAGAATTTATACTTTGGATCATTATCAATTGTGGTACTTCTACAGATAATTTAACAGTATCAGTACCACTGATACCAAACTTTAAGCAAAATGAACTCACATTTACATACTCATTCTACATCTAATGTGCATCCATATAATTTTATAAAGATGGCATTAACATCATTTTGTATCTTGGGACTTTTTAGAACAATTCATTAAAACTTTCACAATAAATTTTCTCACTTTATCTTAACAAAACTCCATTTTACATATGAAAAAATGGACCTCAGAGTTTAAATAATTTTGGAGATAAAAGAGCTATTAAGTCATGAAACAAGATGCACAGTAGTCTAATTCCTAAAACAAGTCCTTTCTACACCACGTTGATTCCCTATGAATCCTAGAAAGTGGATTTTATCACTAATTCTTTACATAAATTTTAAGAACAAATAAGTTACCTTAAGAAATAAAGCAATAAATGAAATAGCCTTATTATATTACTAAAACTGTACATTAACTTAGTCATTATTGGTTACCAGCCATTCACAGGCACATACAGAATTCATTAATTATAACAGTGAATTCCTATATTGTGCCATTAAAAATCCATTAATAAATTAAGTGGGAGAAAAATTAAGTTGAATCTACCACTGAATAGAGAAAATAACTGCAAACTCATAGAAATATAGACAAAGATATCATTAAAATCTTGTTTGGCGTTTCAAAATCTTAAACAGCTACAAATGTGCAAAACAGACACTTTTAAAACTTAGTTGGTTTGTGGTGCTTCCTAAGTGTTACTTTCCTTTTCGGTTACTAACTGCAACACAAATTGCTGCACTACATCTGCTGACAAGAAACAAAACACCACGTAGTAGCTTATTAAAAAGAGCAATCTACATGCACTGTAATACTCTGTAAATGTTGAGCACCACTAACAGCATCTGCCGTCACACACGGAGACAGATGGAGACAGACTACTGTATTTTGGAAACAATGAACCTTTCTGGGACACAAATACACGTGCTGTCTCCACTGTCCCTACATTCCCACAATCACACTCGGGTCTTTCCCGACAAAAAGCACAGCCCGTCCCTATGTGATGACGTATGATGCCACGGGGGACTTGCAGGCTTCCCGGATGAAAGGGCAGCTCAGATTGGAGCAGAGGAATGCGATTCCAAGACATTTCAGTAACAAAGGAACCACCGCAATTTGCCGGTACAGCACAGGCATGAAGCCAGGGTTCAGTTTTTTAGCGACTCAAATGTATGAAAACTGTTTGTAAAACACAGAAAAAATATCAGAAGCATAGGATACAACCAGTTGTGTGAGTGGCCCACCCTCTGGCAGTCACCACCTACTCTCAACAAAAAGGGGAATTCCAGGCAGGGGCTTCTCCCCGCAGAACCAGCCCACACTGGTGGCAGGGTGGGGAGGTGGAGGTGCTAGGAAACCGCGGGCGGTGCGCTTCCAGATCTATACAAAATTCAGTTACCAGGCATCCTGTTCCCAAGTAAACTGTTATTCAGTTGCCTTCATATTTTATATATTATTTAGTACTGATTCATCTTTTAAATGACGAGGTTGAGAACATTTTACTCAAAATTTGCACTCAGTTATTAGACTTTTTCACACCACTACTGTGGTACCCTTTCTAGAAGGAATCAGGATTTTAGTAACTCTGTGTTGTTTTCAAGATAAAGTTTTTGTGAAGAATAAAATATATGTTGAATAACCAACTGGCAAAAGTTTGTATGAAAGTTTGGAACTCTAAACTTTCAAGGAAGTTCATCTAGATACGTATTTTTCTTGGATATTTTTCTATCCATGAAACACTCAACAAGACACACTGTAAACCCAGTGATTGGCTCTACACATCTGGCACTTTCACTGCAACCTATTTGAAGGGATGCTCTTGGAAGGCTTCTTAATATCTGCTCTGCCTACTTCACAGTTATATTGTAAGCAAATGAGAAACCGTAAAGTATTTCCCAAAACACTAAGGGTCAAAATAAGCGAGACAAGCTTGTCCAAAGTCAGGGGCTCTCCTAATATCATCTTCAATTTTGGAGAATAAAAAAATCAGTAAACCTTATATAGAATTCTCATAAAATAATAGGTTATAATTACTTAAGGATTATTTTTTAAAAATTATACAGCAAAGAAGTGATTTATCTACAAACTTAATCATGCTCAACACAATTACATCTATAGTTTCCTTTGACTTTAAAATATTAGGGGACCGGTGCTGTGGCATGGCAGGTAAAGCCACCACCTGCAGTGCCAGCATCCCATATGGATGCCAGTTCAAGTCCTGGCTGCTTCACTTCTGATCCAGCTCTCTGCTATGGCCTGGGAAAGCAGTGGAAGATGGCCCAAGTCCTTGGGCCTCTGCACTTGCGTGGGAAGACCCAGAGGAGGCTCCTTGCTCCTAATCGGGCCAGCTCTGGCCACGGTGGCCAATTAGGGAGTGAACCAGTAGATGGAAGACCTTTCTGCCTTTCCTTATCTCTCTCTGTAATTCTGAATTTCAAATAAATAAATCAATCTTTAAAAATTAAAATATTAAAAGTGAAGTATCTGTAAATTGTCGTTTTCAGTTGTGTATCTTAATAGTTAACAAGTCCTTAAAAAAGAATGAGAATTTTAATTGAAAACTGAATAAAAATATCAGTGAAAACTGCATTTTTTGAGTTTAAAAGTTGTCAAGATGGGGCTGGCGCTGAGTTGTAGGGGGTAAAGCCTCCACCTGCAGTGTCAGCATCCCATATGGATGCCAGTTCAAGTCCGGGCTGCTCCACTTCCAATCCAGCTCTCTGCTGTGGCCTGAGACAGCAGTAGAAGACAGCCCAAGTTCTTGGGCCCCTGAACCAATGTGGCAGACTTGGAGGAAGCTCTGGGCTCCTGGCTTCGGATAAGCCCAGCTCCAGCTGTTGCGGCCATTTGGGGAGTGAACCACTGGGTGGGAGACCTCTCTCTCTCTTTGCCTTTGCCTCTGCCTCTGTTAACTCTGCCTTGCAAAATAATAGTCTTAAAAAAAAAAAAGTTGTTGTCAAGTAATGAACTCCTCGACTAGTTGTAAATATCTTTTATATTTTAATATAAAAATTTTCAAAGCAGCCAATTCTATTTTGTTTTTCATGTGGTTGGTTTTATTTTTGACACTTCATCTGTGACTTTGAATATTATTATAACTTACATCATTGTTTACTTATGCTCATACCATTTATTAAAGCATTAGCAAGAGAGGCAATCTGTTATAAGCATGTTATATAGAAATTACCTACTTTATATATTTTATCTGATAATT